GCTCAATTTAACAATAAGTAGGGAAAACATGGAGCATAAATGGCCCAGGGAAGTCTCAAGACCATTGCTCATGCAAAGCTAGGAGCCCGAAAATCAGTGAAGTCCTAGTTTATTCTGAGGTGTTTCTTCTTGCTCCAAATCTCTGCTCCTCCGTTACCATGGGCACCCCCCCACACACAAAACCAAAACAATATTACTTAAATGCTGGATGGTGGATATTCCTAAAAAACCTGCCAACTTTAGAACTGCAAGTTTATGCCTTGATAAGTCTAGATTACTTGAGAAAAGTGGGCATCTTTTAATAGAGGACCTGTTTAAGAAAAGAAATACACATTTTATAATCATGTATTGGTTTCACTGTTATATTTTAAGTGATTTAGGAAAATACTGGCATTCGATGAAAACTGTCTACTAAGGATACTACATTTTAAGCAGCAGCAAATATGTCAAATTATCATATTTGGACACAGAAAGCCTGGATAATAAAGATGAGGAGGAGAGTAGTCATGAGGCGGGACAACTTAGTAGCTCTTTGATGAGATGAGCTAACCACTCCTCGGGATCCACTCTGAAATACCATCTCCTCCTGGGGCCTCCCTGGCAACCTATATAACACATGACCCTAGTTATTACCTTATTACTTATCCTTTTACAGTTTCAGCTGTGACTCCTTGGGAATACTCCTTTTATTTGCCTGAATTTCCTAAAGTGTAAAATGATGATAATACTAATGTCCCACTTCAAGGTATTGTGAGAATTAAAGGAGATAGTACATGTTATAGCTTAGAATATTACCTAGCACATAGCAAGCATTTATTAACTATTACTTATTGTCGTCATCTTCAGTCCACTGGTTTCCTGTCTCTCTCACTAGCACTGTAGGCCCATGAGGGCAAGCAGCTATTAGTATTGTTTACTGCTATATCTCCTTTGCCGGGGTAGGAAGTAGGTGCCCAGATTTAGTACTGAATCAAAGAATTCATGAATGAATGCTGTCTTATAGTCTCACATAGCTTCAAAATAAACCTCCATCCATCAAAGTAATCAGTATACTTGCAACCAAAACAGTCATCATGAAAACTTCCCCAAGAAGCTAAAATCATCATTTAAAAAACAAAAACAAAAACCAAGATACTTGATCATAGAAAGAGCCCTCCTGGGCCCACCAGCCAAGACCACAGAGAACCATTCTTTCTATATTAGTATGTGGAAGTCAAGCTCCCTGATGCCACAGTGTTGTAACTATCAATTTAGCCTGTGAAGAATGGTTCCCAGTTCTGATAGGATTTCTCATATTTCAGCCTGTTTTTCTCTCATCATTATTTTTCAATGTCTTAAAAAGCCACATTTCTCATTTTGTCCCTACCACAAGAACCTGGTTGCACTCTGCTGTGGTTTCTAAGTTACAGCTACTCTAGTCTCTTTTTCTTGGATGTACTTCCTTAGAGGTCCTGACCTGGTGCTGACATCTGGTCTGTTTTTAGAGAGGTACCTCTAAATATTAATTCCTTTTACCTTCCACTGGTTGAAAGACAACATTCAGAGACAGAGGCTGCATATAACATAAAAGAAAATCCTTTGGGATGTAGTATGCTTCTTTCAAGGGTGTCCAGAGAATATGACCTAAAGAGTTCAGTCTTGCAAACATGCACGCACAGTGCAGCTTAGCTACACATATTTTAGAGCATATCCTGATTTGCTGGAGCAGCCAAGGATTTGTTGGAAAATACTAGCAACCAAGGAATGACAACACAGGTGAGAAAGTAAGTGGACACGGAGAATAAAATCAGTAGAGAAAGCTTTAAGACAACAGTTTAGAAGAGAACTTTTATCATTGTTCAAAGGCGAATCATCCAGAACTAAATGTATGAAAATCTAGAGGTGGGAAGTGGGAACAGAGATGGAAATGTATCCTTAGCATGGTTTTTTTGTTTGTTTGTTTTAGCTCAAGCTTCCTATTGTTTAGAGACAGCTCCAACTATATCTCCCCAAAAGGCCAAGACGAAACACGTAACAATGAACCCACCATACAAGACTATGTGATAAGCTTTGTGAAACATAGTTTATAAGGGAAAACTTGATGAACTGAGAAATTACAGCTAGAAGATCCTCAAATATCATCCAGTTAGATCTCCAATATTAGGCAGTATAGTGACTGGAGGGAGAACGGAATAGGGGCCTCTGTAATACTGCAGAGGAGGCCTCATTGAACTTACAGAAGCTATTTTAACCCTTTTGAACTCCAGTTTCCTCATCTATAACACAGATAACAATACCTACTTCAAGTAAGTATAGGGGGCTGAGACACAGTGTGAACATTTAATTAAAAAATTGCTTACTGGGCCCTCCCTGGTGGCGCAGCAGGTTAAAGCACTGCACTGAGAAGCTAAAGCCACTTCCGCATGAGTTATATCCCCGCCTGCCCGGGAGGAGATGGAGCGGCAGACCTCTCCTGACCCTCCCGCTGCTCCCCTCAGCAGGTTACTTGGTCGATCTGCCTGTTCTGCTCCCCACTCTATCCCCGGTGAATCCTCTCACCCTCCACATCTCTGGCCTGTACCCCAGTTCTGTATGAGTAAATAAATAAATCTTAAAAAAAAATTGCTTACTATAATACATACTTGCTACGTCATCATCATTAAAGACTTGAGTTATATAGCATTTCATAGATTAAGCACCCGAAGATGAAAAAATTTCAGAAATTTTCCCTAAGATGACAGAGCAAGGACTGTAAGTGTAAGTAGCTCTTCTGCCTAGAGCAGTGTGCTTTTCACATCATGTTTCTATGAATCAATACAAAACAGCCTGAAAAAGATATGTTTTCACTAGGTAAATAAAATTCACAATCAAAGTAAAATCAGGAGTTTTTATTATTCAGTTCTTCTTGTCTACCAAATACTATTTCCCATTCTATCACACATCCACATCTTTTAAGTCCTTTTAAAAGGATTTTAGAGCTTTGATGTTGATTCACCTCTCAAAATAATTTGCCTCAAGCCAATATGGTGTTTTAGAGTTATCAAAGTGTCAGGTATGTGCCAGTCACATACATTATGTAATTTGAAGTTTCCCAAGGACAAGAAACAGCTCACTTGGCAACCAGATTTCTATCAGCACTGTGGAAAATCTTAAAAATTTCAACAGCACATTAGTAGATCAAAACTCAGGCAACAGCATTCTGAAACAGTTGTAAGCCGTATTTCTGGCTCTCTGGTATTGTTTTGAGCCCAATGGAGCTTACTTTTGGAGTGCTAGACACCGGATGGTTTGCAGAGTCTTAAAGGAATCAACACACGAGACTGTCTTTATTAGTAACAAGATCAAGAAGAAGAGAAGATAATATGCAAGAACTTTAAATATAGATAGAGCTACAGATTCAACAAACATTTACCTAACACCTGTTATATGCTAAGCATTGTGCAAGGCCCTGGGAGTAAACAAAGATGAAGAAAATGATACCTACCTTCATGAAAAGACTTATAAAAGAGATGGGGGGAGGGAGATAGGAGGGGAGTCAAATAGAAAAAGGGGGGAAGACACATCGCCCCCAGAAGAATCATATTTCACTTGGCAAGGAGCCTCCGAGTACTGGTACAGATTAAACGGCCCAGAAACTTGACCCCTAGACTTGTCCGTCCTGTAAAAGCAGGCAAGGCTATTCAAGCTCAGTCTTTATTCCCTGCCTACCTCATTTGCTTCAGCCCACACTATGAGAACAAGGAGGATTCCTTTCCTTTCGCTACTTCATTCCCCTTTAGAAGATTGGGAGAAAGGACCAGCTCTGCGCCTGGAAAGCCTGCTTTTCCCAGGAACTTGAAATTCCTATCTATAAGTGAATCTTGATTTTAATTTATAAAACCTTAACTCAGCAAAAGAGCGAAGGAGAGTCAAGAATTCCCCAAACAGCAACCTAAGTAACCTCTGGAGAATAAAAAGGAAAATGCTGAGTTCAAGGAGGATGGACTTGAATTCATAAGTCAACTTAAATAAAAGTTTGTAAAATGATCCCCATAAACTGGGAAAAAATAGAATCCAAAATGATTACGTAAGTATGCATAGCATGTTGGTATTAAAAAATGCTTAATATTTATGTTGCACACTCTTTTACGGTGTTTTAAAGAAAACCAAGGTGTTTAAACATTACTATCTCACTCAGCCCAAAAACACTTCTGTAGTATTTTAAAAAGAAACTGTTTTTGATTTTTATATGCTCCAAGAATATTGTATGAAAAAAAAATCCTTCAAAGATAAAACATATGAAATATATCCTGCTGCTAGAAATAGTTTTAAATTATTGATGGGCACAGCACCCTATAGAAAGTGAACTGAAAAAGAGCATTATCCTAAGTAGTTTCATGAAAGAACTGAGCCATGAAAAACACAGGTTAGAAATGAATTTTCTAAAAGGAAATGGGAGTGAGTATTTTGAATCACAGAGGAAGTTAAAAATTGTAAGAGGAACCCAAAGAAACAGATCTAACAGGTCAAGAGACAGCTACTCAGCACTGTTGTCATGACTATTCACGAAACTTCTCAGTGGACAAGACTACTGCCTCAAAGCCAGGCTCCAAAACAAGTTTGAGCACCCCTCAATCAGTCTACCAAAGCCAAGCATTCACTGCTACTCCATAATTAGCATTGTCTTGCTTGCTCTATTCAATTTTTTAAAAATGATTTTATTTTATTTTTATGTAGAAGAACTGGCGTGTGGGCCAAAAGTGCAGGGGTTGAGAGGATTCACAGACAGAGTAGGGTGCAGAGCAGACAGATCTACTGAAGTACACTGCTGAGGGGAGCAGCAGGTGAGACAGGAGAGGTCTGCTGTACTACGTGGGTCAGCTCCTTGGCCGGGAATCGAACTCAGACTGTAGCAGTGACAGCGCTGAGACTTAACCCCAGGGCCAACGGGAAGACCCATCCTGCTCTTCTTCATGTGCCTTTTCTGCTTCCAAGTGCCGCCCGTCTGGGCATGCCTATTGGTAAAACATTCATGTACTTACTATTCAGTGAAGAATCTGGCAATGCCGTATTGGCTAATATCTTCCTTGTTCTCTAGTAGCTGACACACTGCATCCTCCATGTATGTGAGGACATGTCGCTGAGCTGCAAACAAATGTAAGAGAAAGAAAAAATAAAAAGTCTTTCCAATCCTAGGAGGCTGTGAAAATTTATCAAGGTGCAACCTGTGCTCTGGGAAGTTGACAGGAACAGGCAAACCGAACTTGCTGGCCCTCACTGACCCAGGGGTCAGAATGGCAGATGATCCAGAACATGACCTACTGCCATGTGACCGGCTGTTAGTATTAGCATCAACTTTTCGATTTCATTTCAGTGATGAGGGTGAGTTAATGATGCTGAGTTTCAGCACTATTTAGCAGAGAGACCTGGAGCTTTTTTTCTTCTCACATCTTTCCACCCCCTTCTACTTATACATGCTTCCGAAATTAAGCCCAGGAAATAGTGGTTCCATGTCCTTCATATAAATGATCTGATGGCAAAGAAAAGTCTAAGGACCACGACTATTTCCATGCTGGCATGATAAGTTGTTAACTGTGGTAACAGGAAGACCATGAAATCTGTGCACCTTCATTTATCATGAGTCATGTTTTCTGCACTGGTTGCAGAAGTGCTCTTGCTGCTTCTTCAGACCCTGAAATTTAAGAAATCGCTGGGTCAGAATTAGGGCTTTGACATTTAGAGTAGTGAGTTCCATTCTTAGCGCTCCAATACCAACCTCTGGGACCTCTGTGCTCAGCCCCTGCTGAGCCAACCACTCTCTAACACGTCAAACGTAAACACGTAAAACGTAAAAAAAAACCCGTAAACATAAACACGTAAAACGTGAGCACCAACTCTACTACTTTTGTAGCACGACTACTACTTCCATCATAAGGTTATGGTAATTACATAAGGTAACACACATGTAACACACCATGGTGCCTGAATTTCTTGACAAGTATTTTCTTCAAAGCTTGTCTCCCTGGGCTTTTAGGGATTTACTTTAGTAAACACGCAGGGCAGAATTTCTCATTTAGCAGGTTCTCAGCAACTGCTGTTGCCCTCCCTGAATTTTAGCTTTAGATCCAATAGCATATCTAGAATACTTCACATACAAACTTCCAGTTCAGTGTTTCTATTTACCATGTAAAAATATTTTTCAATTAGTGTCTTTTGAATAGTGAAAATAAAAAGCCAGTCCTGTCAAAATTCGATGAAACTGCTACCAAGATGAAATCTGTCCCTTCCATAGTCTCATCCCTCCTAAAAACATGGAGAAATTATCTAAAATTTATAAAATTTGGTACTTCCAAAAGCAATTATTGAAGTTCTGGTGGTCTTTTAAATAAAGTAAATAAGTTTGGGACCTCCCTCATACCTTGGGGTTAAGTCTCAGCGCTATCACCACTATGGCCTGAGTTGAGTTCAATCCCCAGCCAGGGAGCTAATCCACGTAAAGTGCAGCAGACCGCTCCTGTCTCACCCACTGCTCCCCTCAGCAGTGTATCTCAGCAAATCCACCTGTTCTGTTCCCCACTCTGGCTCTGATGAATCCTGTCACCCCTTGCACCTTCTGGCCTATACCCCAGTTCTTTTAGGGAAAAAAAAAGTTCACCCCACTGGAAAACTATTTCTCTAAAAAATGGCACAATAAAATTTAGAGACAATATATGCCAATTTCTAGAATTAATTGTCTTCAAAATAGCAATGATCAAAATTACATACATTGAATTGAAATGGCCAAACATTAAAACAAGTTGTATTTTCACCTCTGTACTTTCTTCTTCTACTCACTTACCTTGGTCTTACAAAGAGATTCCTTCCTGGGTGTATATGGGCTTTAAGATACAGATCTTCCTAAGGTTAATACAGGACTTTTTTTTTTTTAATGACAGTTATGAAAGAACTCTACTTAGTGGCAAATCATGCTGCTTCTATCCCCTAGCTCCTGGGACTAAAAGTCAATGTGACAGCTGTTTAAAGAAGAAGTGTTTCCAGAGCAGTTAGAATCAAAGTACTTCTTCCTCCTAAAAAGAAAAAAGACTTTCTAGAAAACAAACTGTGTGTCAAACAAAAAGGACTATATCTGTTTAACGTTCATCTAGTTTAATATTATATGTAGTAATGCTGATAGTAGTAACAGCTGTCAATTTGAGCTCCTACGCTCAATTTGATCTCCTGTGCAGTTTACTGAACAAAGTGCCCGATAAGCTGCCAGATGTTTTACATGCTTTATTTTATTTAGTCTTCACAACAATCCTATGATAGGTAGCTTGGTTACTTCCCTTTTACAAATGGGAGAACTGAGACACATAAAATTCAAGTGACCTGCTCAAATTACATAGCTAGTAAGAGAAGCCGGATTTGAACCCAGACTTGTCTCAAACAAAGAACCATCCTCTTCACAGTCAGGTTTAGAAGTAAATGTTATCTTTATTTTACACAGAACACAAGGGCAGCGGTGTGTGTTGACGCTAAAATCACTTGAGAAGCTGCTCTGTGTGTGTCTGTGTGAGAGAGCGCATCCTTTCCCCACCTGCATAGGTGTACATGGCAATTAGCATTCGGGCGAAGTTAGAAAATGCCACCAAATTTCAGTTTGGTACAAAGAACCACCTTATCACAACGTATTCACCCTACCCACTACCAGGTCACAAAGAGGAGTCAGAAAGCCCTGAGGTTCTTTTCATCTGGGAAAAGGGAAGGAACTAAGAAGAGCAGGTAAGGTGGGGGAAAGTTGTTCCCTGCAGAGAATTTCACCGAAGCCAATCTCTAGTAGCTGCTCCTTGGTGATTTCCTTCACCTACAGCTCTTATCAGTGCAATGCTCCCTCGGTGGTTAAGTGTACCACCCAGTCCTGGAAAATCCTTGCAGTTTATCAAACTTCAATGAGACAGAAGTTCAAAGCTCTTGCCTGGCAGTAAAACATGGAGTGTCATTTTATATTATTTTTTGAATGCAAAGGAATGGGCTTTAATTTATGTGAATGATTAAAGTATAAAAACTGCACACCTGCACCCCTGGAGGGCAAAGATATCTGGGCACCTTAGCTGCCCTCTTGGAAAAAAGAAGCATTCAGATTGGTTTTTTCCCTTCTGTTTTGCCCTGACTTCCACAGAAAGGACTGAGGGTTTTTTTTTGTTTTTTTTGTTTTTTTTTTTAACACATTCCATTAAGGCTCTATTGCTTTGAAAACCACACTAAAGCCCAAGTTATCTGTGTCTTGCTCAGAAAGCACTGCAGTCTAAGAGATGCTCTTAGATCTTCAATATACACTGGAAAATCCAAGTAAAATATAAGTAAACAGGCCCTCTCTGGTGGCGCAACGGGTTAGAGCACAGCACTGCGAAGCTAGCTGCAGCCACTTCAGTCCAAGTTGGATCCCTGACCCGAGAGGTGACCTACATGGCGCAGCAGGCCTCTCCTGTCTTGCCCACTGCTCCCCTCAGCATTGTACTTCATGGAGCTGCCTGCTGTGCTCCCTACTCTGTCTCTGGTGAATCCTCTCAACACCCCGCACCTCTAGCCTGTACTCCAGTTCTGTATGCATAAATATTTTTTTAATAAATAAATCTTTTTTTAAAAAATAAATAAACACTGTATGATATTCATATGAACCTCACAAATGAAGGAACCTGGGTATTAAATCTGTTCTGTAAATCACTCTACACTAATCAAATTTCTCCCAGTATCAGGCAATCCTACTAGAAAATGGGTGTGATGGCTATGACAGTAAATATAATGAGACAACTTAGAAAATATTCATTTATACGATATATATGTTTATATATTATTGCTAGATACTGATTCTACAGATTAAAATGACATGACAATTTACTACAATGGTTAGAAACATGGGATTTGGAGTCAGACTAATCCAGATTTCATTTTTAGCTCTAGCACTCATTAACTGTATGAATTTAAACAAGGTACCTAGTCTCTCTATCCTTTTCTGTAAAACTGGGGAATAGTAACTACCACCTAAGGTTATAGAGAGGATTAAATAAAATAATGTATATAATAACCACAGCATAGTGCATAGCCCACAGTAATTGTGTAATATATAATATCAGCGATCATTTATTGTTAAGTATTCACCTAAGTTCAAGATAATAGCACTATGTTTGAGTCAATGTTTCTCTAAGTCATCAAGTCTGATTGAGCTATCATTTTTTATCACTGTTATTATCATCATTAATGTTGTCACTCTATACCCCTCCCAGACATTGCAAAATCCACAGGATCAAATAGAAATGAACACCAAGATACCAACTTACTATCTAGTCCCTTCTAGCTTGTTTACAGTTCTGTTCATCCAACCAAGGATGTTTACAGATTATCTCAAGGATTACTGGGCTATATACAAGCATACACATATAATAATACACATAATCATATACCCATTTCAGTTATAGCCTTTAAGTTTGTGGGAAGCATTCACTTATTAACTGCTAATTATCCAGGCTCTAATTTATATGGGGAAAGTCCACAACTATTTCTTTTTACTCTCTTCCCAAACATAAATACCATCAAAGTATTAGTTGTTTGGTTCACAGTTGAATGATAAGGGGGTCCCATTTAGAAATTTTGCTTCAGGGGCCTAGAATTTCCAACATAAGTTAGAACACTCTTATTTTATTATTGGTATTTTTTAACAGACTCCTTATACTAGAACAAATAAGTCTTACTGGAAAAATATTCATATGAATTACTGTATGTGATGTTAATAGATAAAAAAAATAATAACAGTGTAAGTGAAAAAATCTATGGATGACGCTCAACTTTAAATCTGATTTTTCTTCCTCCCTTACCAGAGTTTTTTGAGAAACATGTTGGTCTTTGAAGTCTCTTGGAAGTCAGATGCTGGCTGGCACAAATGTTGAATTAAATTAAGACTGTTCTCTGAGATAAGAAAAGTAATCCTATTAAACTAACAACCTGTCATGTAAACTGTTCAGGAGCTTCAAATTCAGTACCACATATAAATCACTAACATGATACAGTATCTAATCTTGTGAAGTACAAATAGATAGCTTAATGGTTAAAAAAGTTAGTCAACCTTTAAAATTAATTATTTGCATTCTCAGTCCTTACCAGTAGGTCCT